GGGAGGGAGGTTGGTGGTGGCGGAGGTGGTTGGCGGTGTGAGCACCCGCAAGCCGGCTTGTCCTTCGAATTGATGGCTGCACTGGTGGCACCAATGGTCGGAAAGCTAGGAGGAATTATTCCCAAAGCCACAGAGGTTTGCTTGCTTAGGAACACCCGACCAGTGGATGTGGTGAAGTACACCATCTGGTGGGTCACCAGCCAGGTGTTGGACGGAGACGTTCCAGAAATACGAAGGGGAAGGGCTCCGATGATGTCAATGGCCCCACGATTCGCAGCTGTCATCTTCATGTTGACAGGGAGGAGATGACGGCGAGTGAGGCTCATCCTAGTCAAGAGTGCTACGCCCGCCAGGCACGACTGGCACCCAGTGTCTGCCATAGCTTGGTACTTGACGGGAGAGGTGCTGCCTCTCAGAGGTGGCGGGAAACCGAGAGATTGGGCGTCTGAAGACACTGCCTGGATGGTGACGTTCACAAAAGGCTGAGGGTCGGATGCTCGCTTCTCCCATGCCCTGCAAAACTCGCATACATGATGGTCTAGGGATACAGAGTGCGCATTAGACACCGGTGTGGCGGAATCTGCACCGCATAGACTGTCAAAGGCGGCAGCAGAGTCATCCAGGGCATTGGTGGGGTTGCTGTTCCGTGACGACTGTCGGCAGAGGTTGGTGAAATGATTGGATAGGCCACACCTGGTGCATCTTTTACCAAATGCCGGACACTTCTTCATACATTCCTGTCTACCATTCCCATGGTCCAGTTTGCCACAGTAATTGCAGAGGAACACTTGGCCCTTACTGTGGAACAAGTTGCCCTGTATGCCGAGTTTCTCACTGCGCTTGTAGGAGCTTGTGGCCGCTGCCGTGGTGTAGGAGCAGATTTCAACGAGGCGACTGGCTGACCTCTTGCCACTCTCCTTCCCCTCCACGTAGCAGAGTACATCCTCAAGGGACATGTCCTGCTTTGACTCACCTAAGATGTCGAGTCGGATCTCCTCATCAATTAGACCTCGGATGAGGACGTCACGAATCATCACATCGCTATAGTCCACGCTGGATTCGTGGACATCTGGAGAGCACCTAGGGCATTTTATCTTGAAGTTGCAAACCCCAGCCTGGCCCCTGAGGCGGGCGACGAAGGCTCTGACAGGCTCGTCCCGGTCTTGCTTCATTTGATGTAGCTGTACCCGTGCTACCATGATGTTTTCCTGGCACACCGCCAGGCTCTTGATGTTCTTTAGGACAGTGTCCTCTTCGCTGGAGGCTAGGGCGCCGAATGTCCTTGTGAGATCTTTTCGTAGCGACTCATCGCAGCACTCGAGAAGCTGGAAGACGATGTCTGCACCAGTGAGGCGAGTCGCTTGTTTGTAGTCGGCCCACCGTTGGGTGAAGTATGACCACGCCTCGCTCGTTCCGGATCCAGACACAACAGGGCATCGCACTTTCTCAGCCTTGGCTGCCGCAGTCGGTGCATTCGCTCGTGCTGCATGGGCTGTGGTGGCGTGGATGTCAATGAGGCGTGTCAACACCTCAGTCGGCGTAGATGCAGGCCACTCCACGTCGCAGCTCGGGGCAGGGCAAGGGATGGTGGTCATGATGTATCTCTTATGTCTTCATAAATAAATGTCAACACTCTTTGTGACTTGACGAGGACTTTGCTAATCAAGCACAATGAAGACATACGTCAGACGATGCATGACTGGGACAGAAACGGAACAGAAATAAAGCAGATGAATATGATTGACAAATAAGGGAAATAATAATAATGGACACAAGAAACAGATACGAATGATGGCACATACATGTAGTCTTGTAGCTACTGAATGATATTCCTCTAATGTCTGCGGTCGCTGTTCACCCTGGAAACGACTTCGTTGAATCCGAGCTTGCTGAATTAAGTGTTTGTTGAATCTGGGTTATTTTTATTGATTTTAAAGTGGAAAAAAACTGGGGAATCCATCTCCTTTCATTGAATCCGAGTTCCACTGTATTGGGAAAATGCGAAATGGGTCTACTCTAACTATAAAGTGGTTCATTGTAATATTCAACACTACCAAAGCTAGTGTCTGCTCGAGTATAAATTTATATTTAAATGTTAAATGTTGTCACTTCATAAAAAGATTTTGTTAAAGTTAAAGATTAAATTCGCCAAATGTTTCTGTAGGCCACACACTACCTGAGGATGGTTGTACTTGAACCACAGGCACAGGTCATAGTTTGCCCCTCCCAGTTCTAAAAAGAACGGATGCTGGGTCAGTTAAAGGTTTACTACTATGTTTCTGGTTTAGATGACAGACTACTGCAAGACTTGTCTGACAACTTATTTAGTTGAAGGTCTACTGCAATGTCTCTGGTTTATTCAGACTTACGTCTGTCATTGCCGATATTTATAATGTTCCTGTGGTTGTGATCGATTTGTGTGTGTGTGTGGGGGGGGGGGGGGGGGGGAACAAGACTAGAGAAGGAGGAAGAGGAGGTTGTGGGGGAAGGGGAATCAGGGGCAATCCTCCCAGCCACACATTACAATTTATTGTGTAATGCCACTACTTTTGGTTTTATTGGCCCCCGCACTGTCATTACCAATCAGGAGGGACTTGTGCTAGATTGCAATTGAGTTAATTGACCGTGGTCAATGGGGTGGGACTTATGTAGATGACCGTAGCACAGTAGACCTTCAACTAAACCAGCACCGCAAAATATTGTAAAAAAAATCTCCCCAATGCTAAAGATCTAGGTTTTACCCCCAAAGAATAATTGGCTAAGATCTCTCTTTTATTATAAGCATTGTCTAATTTAACTGAGACCAAGCCTTCCTGTCACTTTATTTCAGGTGACTTTCATGTAGAACATGATGAGCATTACATGTGCAGTCAATTTTCTAGGTTGGTGGGTACAGGAGGACTTGATTCTATTTATGTGTTGTAGTCTCTGAAGCAATTGCACTGATGTTTGTGTATAATAAGTGTTAGGCCTGGGCAGAGATTTGTTGTTGTTTTTTTAAAACTTAAATAAAATAGATCCTGGTATGTTCTCAACCTGTGACATTTAAATCATGATATCCTTTCACAGCTTTGGCTTGACAAACACAACAAGTGTTTTGGACAGTTCGTCAATGGCACATGGAACAAAACCGAGGGAAGAGCTACTGTTGATGTGAAAAAACCAACTACAGGTAGAGATGCTGAGACAATGAGAAACTATACTTTTTTGGTTTCGTCTTAGGAAAATCATTTTTGAATTGACTTACAATACTGTCTAGCATTCTAAATTTGATATAGCCGCATCTTAAAATTGGAACCATGGATTCCTATTGAAACAATTATGCTTATTTTTTCCTTTCTTTTTGTTTGAAAGTTCTTTCACTTGTATCTTGACCTTTTAGTTTTATAAACATGCATAACTAATAATTGATTTTATCACTTTTTTAAAGGTGATACACATATTTTTTTCTTAATGCAAGATAGAATATGTTCCTTGTAAAAAAAAACGTTTTCTTTACCCACTGTTGGAGGGTTTGCTTTACTATTTTAATTTTTCCTGCAGGGTGAGAAGAGTTTTTGGTATACAAGAAACTTTTGTCAAATATGTCACATGGGGATGTTTCCGAATACTTTTCACTTGCTGATTTCTGTATACTCTCCTTTGGAACTTGGCTCTAGACATCAAATCTCATTTTATGTAAAATTTTAAAAAGAAAAAAACAAACATTTGAAACTATCGAAACACTGTATTGTCCTTTCTTACCTTGCTCTAATTGCCTCATAATTTGAACCAGTTGTGATTTGCCATATGAAATGAGAATGAACCACAATATATGACAGTCTCTCCAACCAGAGTCAGTTCACCTCATGGATGACGTCTGCATGGTCAGTTTGTAGATTCCATTGTTTCACTTGTGATAATGAAAAATGAAGATGTCATTCTTCATCAATAAGAAATAAAACTTTTTCATGAGGACACCGAGGTGGATGGGAGATATGGATGATCTAAGTTGAGGATGAGACGAAAGTATCTTCCATGCTTTATGATTGACAAAATGTGAACTTTCTTTCTAAATGACATGAAGCCTTCGCTATGAAGCTACTTTATTGTGTACAACTACCTCAGTATTGACTGTTTTGCTAAGACACTAAGTATATCGTGCATTTGGAATCTCAGTGTTCTGTGGCTCTCTGCTCAGTGCTTTGAATGGTGTTTTCTACTTGCCTGAAGGAAAGTTATAAACTAATGGGCCCTACAGTCAAACCTCATTACCCTAGCCATTAGCCCCCATTATGCCACCAGCCCTGCTTTTTGCTAGGGTTTGCCAATGCACAAAAAGCAAAGCCAATAGATATAAACATACTATTTGAGGGCTCTCGTGGCCTAGAGGTTAAGGTGTTGGGTAGCGACTGAAAAATTTTCTTCTCTAAAATTGTCTCCTTTCACCTCCTTTCCTGCTCTCTAGCAATATTCTGTCGTCTGCTTTCGTCTCCTCTTTCTGCCCCCACCCTCTCACCTCCCTTGCCCCTCCTCTGGGCTCCTGACTCTTTCTGCAGCCTTTCTACTGTTACTCCTTGACTCCTTCTTACAGCTGTCTTTCTACCACACCCCTGATCTTCTGGTAGGAAAGATCTACACCTAGCCTTCTCGGACAAGGGCGAAAAATCTCGGAGGGCCCGTGTGCAAGTTGCGCACGTTATAGATCCCTTGGTGGTCTAAAATCGATAAGAGTAGGCTTCGGCCGCCACCCGGGCAAAATTCAAAATTTCCTACCAACGAAAAAGTATTAGGTGTGTTCTGCGCGCTCATATGACCTTATGCAGTTGCGAGCGCCGTAAAACCCTATACTAAACAAACAAACAAACAAACATACTATTTACCCCTTTAAACTGCCATCCTTCAACTGTATGAGTTGTACAGTCCTTACTAAACTATGCAAATTTTCTTCACAATACCACCAGCAAACTGGCTGCCAGAGGTACCAACTACACACAACGCAAATTCAAATTATTCTTTCTATATATAGGTCAGTATTTGCCATGGATGAAAGATGAAAAATATGCCTTGATCTTTCAGTCAGCTTCTATGTTAATTGTTAATTTCTTCTCAAAATTTAGGTGAAAAATTGGCAACAGTTCTGAAGGCTAATGACGAGGATATTGCATTTGCTGCTGACAATTCAAAACAAGCATTCAAGTCTTGGTCTGAATTATCAGGACATGCTCGAGCTCAGCATCTTTACAGGTTACCTCTTTGTTATGGTTTAGTGATGACATTAACCCTATCTGTACGCCCGGGGATTATTTTGTACCCCCGGGGTTGTATTCTTAACATTTTAGAAAACTTCTAGTACGAAGATCTCTTTGAAATTTTCAGTATTTCTCAAAAAATCCTTTTGACCGACTGCCATGCACAGTTTACGGGTCGGATTAACGAGTAAATTTCCTATTTGGAAAGTGTTGGCAGAGTTCCCCACGTCATATGGATACGATAGTAAAACACTACGTACGGATAGGGTTAAATATTTGTAGGGCAGAGAAGGGGTAAAGACAACTTTTGCTGATATTTTTCATGTTTGGCTTCAAATTAATGAAATGCTTCTTCTGAAAGACAATAAATCTGTATTTTTTTCATAATTGTGGTTTAAAACTTTCCTATGACAACGTGATATGCCTATGTAGCCAAGGTTCTTGAGACTAAAATATTTGGTGCTCTTAATGTGTTTGCTGCCAAAGTCCAATAACTTATTATCTTCAATTTCTAAAAATGACAAAGCTTCTCGTAATAATCCTGTCTGTATTATAATTCTGTACAGAGAAGATTTAGAATTTTCACTTTCATTCTCCTTGTCTGATTTTCTAATCTACCCCAGTATTGCACGCAACCTTCAGAAACATCAGTCTTTGTTAGCTGTTGTGGAAGCTGTGTCGTCTGGCCAACCCACTCGTGAGACAAGGGGCCTGTCGGCTCCAGCAGCCATCCGCTATTTCTACCACAATGCTGGTTGGGCAGGCCTCATGGAGGAACAGATGAGGGGCTGGAAACCTTATGGTACATTTTATTCTCTGAACTGGATTTTTTTTCTGTCTTCAGGGGTGCAGTTGTCCAGAAGTAAAATGCTTGCTTCTTGTGCTATGGTACTTTTTAAAAAGTTTTTTGTTTATTTATGGTTGTCCATGGATTCCCTTTTCTAGATTAGGTGTGTCGAGCTTGTAATATATTAGATACGAGAAAAAATCCCAAGAGGTCCTGTTTGCCTATTTCACTTTTGCTTTGCTAGTTGGAAGTTGCAAAAAATTTATACTGTCTACTGAAATAACACTTATGAGAACTTGCGAGAAGTGGAAGGGAAAATGTCTTGGGTTGAATGCATACGGCAAATATCATTTGACTCCTTAAGATAAGTTCTGGATGTTGTACAAAGGTTTTCTTTTCACTAGTAAATTATAACTTTACGCTTATTGGTTCTTCTCATTCATCATTTAGGAGATGGTGGGGGTTTTTCCAGTAAAGACTTTTAAATTATAACCATCTAACCCTAAAAGGCTGGAATGCTGGTCTGTTCCGAAGCAACTGAAATAGTAGTTTGAAGTTTGTTGGGGAAGTTTTCAGGAGGGGAGCCTACTATCTCATGAATGATCTGAACTGTGCCTATGTTGTTGAGGGATGAAGTGTAATAATACATTGTCATTCACAGTCTTTTTTGTCAAGCAATTTTTTTTTCTTCTCTCGTAGGAGTGATAGCCATTGTTGTGCCTGCATGGCTGCCTTTGGTCCAGATGGCAGGGAAAGTAGCCTCTGCCCTTGCCATGGGAAACACCGTGCTTGTGATCCCACCTGCATCTGACCCTCTGAGCTGTCTCCTCCTGGCTGACATCTGCTCTCAGGCTGGCCTCCCTGCAGGCGTGCTCAATGTGGTCACTGGCGCTGATGTCATGAGAGTGGCTGCGAAAGATGGCCTGGACAAGATTGTATTTGCAGGCTCAGCTTCTGTGAGTGTTTTGGCGTTTTGGGGATTTATTTGTCTGCATTTAATATTTAGGTGTGTTTGTGTGTGTTTTTGTACATGAACTTTGTTAATTTTACTCACATTATCTCTCTATTTGTTTGCCTGTCTCTCTTTAAAGCCCCTCTATCTCTGTCTGTCTCTTTTCTTTTTTGTACACCAATTTAAGATGGTTGCATAAGTTATTCTTACCTGCCTGCTTGTTGGTATGTTAATTTTTTGTTTAGGAACGGGTTGTTTTATACACCTATCATTTTACTGGCACTGATTTCTGATGGTGTTGCCTCCCGTCTCCTAGGATTTCATTAACTGTTACCCCTCTTTTATTAGTCTTTACTCCAGCTGTTCTGGCAGGCTTGTTGCATTTTGTCTGGGACTATGAGGACACGGAAATTTTTACACTTTTGAATGTTTCAAAAATGATTTTATTATTAACAGTATCAGTAATCTTTATGCCGTAAACATTTGCCTGCTCACTCCTAGTGCTGCTGATGCCATAGGTTTTGTTTTTTCAGTAAAACAAATGTGTTTTTCAGCAGAACTAGGTCTTTTATGGAAATTTTCTCTGTCCATAAGTGGTTGGAGGGTGCTGTGGTGTAGTTTGCTCCTGCTTTCCTTTCAAACATCTATCACCATTATCTCTCCTTCTTTTTTTTGTGCTTGCTACTCTCTTTTAACACCTCTAATCTTCTGCACTTATATATAACCTAATTGTGTTCCAGGTGAAGTAAAACTCTTACTAAACATTTCTCTGTTTACACTCCAGGAAGGCAAGGCTCTGAGGCAGATGACCGCTGGCAGTGGCAAGGATCTGTCCTTAGAAATGTTTGGACGATCAAGCGTCTTGGTTTTTGAAGGGGCCGATCTGGATAGTGCGGTAGAAGGCATTGTTGAGGCTGCTTTTTTCAACTCCGGACAGGTGACTTTACATTGGATATGCTTTTCAATTGGTCGCTTTTAAGGACAAGAGGGCTAACCCAGATTTTGGGGGTTTCCAGAAATCTTGACCTGCACCAAAAGTAGACATTGCCCTACCTATAGGAGAAATTTGGTTTCATTGGTGTGGATATTTGTTTGGTTATAGAGAAAACTCTCTTTGTCTTTTAAAGAAACTGAACAAGCGGCAAAAACTTTACCTTCGATTTTCTCAAAACAGCATTTTTCGGGATAGCCCCCTTGTGTTTAAAAGCGACCAATTGTCATGTGGTGAACAGTTGGTGAAATGTTGACCCCTACGTGTCATAATTTTTTTTTCATGCCCAACTCTCAGAATTCATATGTATTGAGTCATTCTTGAAAGTAGGTAATATATGATTCTTGCCTTAGTTTAAAAATTGACTATTTTTAAAGAAAAATGTTTCAACGTACTGAGTGCAACAGAAATACATTTTTCTTGCTTGGTGCACAGCGTGGCTCAGCTGTTATAATGTGACTCGTAGATCTGCTGAAATAGGATGAAATGGCATGGGTTTAATGCCTCTATCGACACTAATAGATTTTTAAAGTGGCGGGACCTCTGAGTTTAACATCAGTCTCAGAAAGGAACAAGCCAAATTGAAATTTCATGTAATGTGTCTTTACCAAAGACACAACGTCGGACGGAGCTGAGGGTCGAGCCCCTGAACCCGCAACCTAACGGTTACGAGTCAGGTAGCCTCACTACTAACTACCGACGCCACTGAAGTAGGATGAAAAAATGACTGCATACAAGTAGAGTAGCCTTCTGTATACTAAGAATGAATAGCTGTTGGACGTTAAAGCTATACCACATGCAGTGGGAAAACGGTTTAGACTTGCCCCACCAGGGTAACCCTGGAACATGCTGGTTCATAGCACTGGTTTTTTTGCGTCGCCCCATGTATCATACATCAATAAATGCTGGAGAAATCGAGGCATTCACTGCAGAAAAAAAAATTTCTGATATAATCTTCAGTAACAGTCAAATTTTTATTGAAGAAAGAGGATTGGTTGGTAGCAAATCTGAAACCTGTGTAATTATTTCGGTACCTTTTCCCCTTCTTTATTAATAATAATAATAATTGCATTTATATTGCGCATATCCGTGCTCAAGAGCATGCTCTATGCTCTTTACGACTATTATTACCCCAGCAGACCCTCTGAGAACACTCAGAAACATTCTCGGCTTCCGCGGAAGCATACAGTGCAAGCTGCGGATTTCACGCGCTCAAACACTATCAAACTGACAAGATCGTTCACTGTCTATAGCCAGGTACCCTTTTCCACTTGGGTGAAGTGAGGAAAATTTATGCAAAGTGCCTTTCCCAAGGACACAACATCGGGCCCCTGACGGGATTCGAACCCTCGACCTTACAGTTGCGGGTCCGAGAGCCTAGCCACTAGGCCACTGACGCCACAATTCCTCTAGGAATTTTCTCCAAAAGACCCACAATTTCCGACATGTACACAGCTATCACTTTTTTATTTATGAACCGATTTCAAAAAGTGAAAAGCATTTTTCTATAGAAGTATTGATTTTTACATCTGTGTTGTTTATAGGTTAGTATTAGCCTACCTATGTTTAAAAAAGCTATGGAATAGCTAGTCTTTCACACCATCAACTATTGAAGTGTTTAGAATTTAGATCAGAATTGATTTATCAGAGTTTCTTCCCTTGACTAAATTCTGATCAAGGTGATACACAACAACAGCATATTTAGACCAAATATGTCACAGAATAAGTGTATCATGCACCAAAATGCCAAGAAATGAAGGAATTTTCATATAATTTGTGTTTTGGTGATTATATACGTGTATGAATCAAATGTCAAATTCAATCTATTCTAAATACAAAATTTGTTCATTGGACAAATTTTATCAATTGGTTGGGGGGGGGTTTTCAACACCTTTTTTGTGTGTTCATTTAAAAAAAACAGTTCTGTGTGGATTTTGCTGCAAAATATTGATCAAAGGCATGAAAAAGGTCAACTAGCAGTTTCTAAAAATGCTTACATTTTAGAAGTCACCACTCTTTGGAAACCATTTTCTCGCTAATATTATTACCTCTGACACCAGGTGACCCCCACCTCCTTTAATCGTAACTGTGTATGCCCCAAAACTGAATAGTGCCTGATTTCATTGTGTTATGATACATATGAAGCGGGAGCCGTGAACAGCCTGTGATTCAATTTTTCTACCTTTTGTCATCTGTTCTCATGAAATGTCTTAATCTATCTACTCAGACCTTTTACACTGGCTCAAGACTCCTGATCCAAGAGACTGTTTACAAGGCTTTTGTACAGAAATTGAAGGCACGGATATACAAGTTGACGGTTGGAGACAACCTGGACAAGAATGTTGACCAGGGACCATTACTGGACGATCAAACCTTTTCCTGTGTTGCCAGCTTGGTTGAACGAGCAAAGGCTGAGGGGGCAGAGGTAAAGACAGAGATAATTATAAAATTAGTTTGTTTGAGGAAGAAAAGTTATAGACCTTGCCAGCTGTTACAGGTAGCTAACATGGTAAAGAGAGAAAAGTAAAGGAAATATTAGGAGGCAATTGCAATGATCACAAACGCCACAACTCGCCAAAACAGCGGTTTTCCCTTTCCTAAAGTGGTACGCTTATCCGCTTAAACAGAATATGGTAAGTCAGGTTAACCTTCTCATGGCTTTATTTGTTGCCCTCAGTTGCTCTTTCTAGTATAAACTTGAGAATTCCTCGAGGTGCGAATTTTTTCTCTAAATGTGGTTTTAGATAATTTTATGGTGTTCAGCTATCTCTCATTTGTGTATTGATTTTTTGGGTAATGTTTTCATTGTTTACTTTGGTGACTTGCAAGTATTGCATTTTTGAGATTGCCGCCCTCTCCTGTCAGATTTATTCTGTTGTTTGAGAACAAATCTTGTAATAGTTGAAAGTAAAGATCAGAATGAAGATACAATGGTTAACTTTCTTTTTTCTGAATTATAATGGAACTGTGTACACGTACATTATTCATGCTGTTGAGATTCAACATCCTCTATTTATTTACTTCCTGTTTTAATTAAAGGTTTTTACTGTCTCCTCTTCAGGTGGTTCAGGCTTGTGACCTTTCAACTGTAAGGCAGAATTCATTCCCTCCGACACTCATTACAAATGTACAAACTTCATCAGAAATTTATTTGAAAGAAGTGAGTAATATATATTTCACAATAGGTTTCATTCCCATAAACTGTTCTTAGATTTAAGGGTAATATTTTTATTTAGAAAAAATATATCTAGTCATAAATTTGGATTGAAAATGTCCAATAATCGACTTTCTCAGCATCTATATTTCAGGAATATTTGAGAGTATAATTTGGTTTTCAAGGAGACAAAAAGGATAACGAATGTTAAATCTTTCAAGAAACAAAAGCTGGTCATGACATTGGACTTTCAACAAAATAGTGCTGAAATTGATTCCCAATTCAGTCAAACAGAGTGTTATATCCCTAAAAAAGGCAGTTTACTCGATTTGCTTCAGTTAACCCAGCTGCAAATGGGTACAGAGCGCTGATCTGTTGATGACCAGCAAGGGCATGCAGTGTGGTAATGTTTGCAACTATGTTATAATATGTGACATGGTATGGCACGTTGGTGACTTAGTGGTTAGGCTAGCAGAATTGTAATCGTGACTTTTTATCGTGTGGTTGTGAGTTCGAGAGTTAATATTTTTATGATGACAAGCATCTGTAGTGTAGCAGATTGGCACTTCGGCACTGCACATAAGATATGAGTTGGATTCCTGTATGGGGAGAATTTTTCTCAGGTATCTCCATCTTTCTGCTGGGACGTCATGTCCATCTCAGCCCAGGTTGGCCCTGACAGGCAGGGAGAAGTCAGCCTGTCTCATAAATGATGTAAATTGTGTCAAAGATAACATATAAATTATCTACAATAACCTTATTTTTAACATGATGATGTAACCTCAGCCCTTTTTTATGCATGCCATGTACTTACTATTTTAACTCAAATTTCCCCATATTGAGGATCGAATGTGGTATATTTCTTTTTCTTAATTTCTCTTTTCTGAAATCAAATGTAGGTTCTTGGTCCCATTGTTGTGGCAGTTCCCTTCCGGACGGTCAAGGAAAGTGTCACAATTGCCAACCACACTCCTTTTGGCTTGGCAGCCAGTGTGTGGACAGAGGACTTGACTGTTGCCCTTGAGGTGGCTGCCCTGCTCCAGGTGTCCACAGTGTGGGTCAACGGACACCACATGTATGATGCGGCCTCTGGCACAGGTGCCTCTAAGGCAAGCGGCTTCGGAAGAACTGGTGGGAAAGAGGTGAGTGTGGTTGGCTCGAGTTAAAAGTGTAAAATTTCCTTTTGTTAAGTCGTTTGTCCTGGCACCTGTGGTGTAGTGGTTAGGTGCTTTACTGTCACATGCAGGAGACCTTAGTTACGTTCCTGAGTGGGTTGAATTTTTACCGAGTATCTGGGTCATTATGCTGAGGTGTCTCACCCAGGGTCGACCGTGATAGACAGAGTTGATGCCCGCCTCCTAAATTATCTAAATTATGTTGTTAGGGTGTAAAAACACTTACTTATTTTTTTAAAGTCATTTGTCCCAGAGAAAGCTCACAGTATACTCCATTACTCCATAATAATTCTCTGGTTGTCCTGGCCATTCCAATTTACTATTTTTGTCCCCAGGATAACATAAACATTGTTGCCTATTTGATGTTTCCTCTTATTGCTTACATATTATGTCTTTTCCAATTGCTACCTACAAGTTTGCTGCTGACTGAACTGATAGAAAAATGGGTACTGTAACTTTTACTGTACAAAGTCCTATCTGACTAATCTCGGATTCAAACTTACTACTTATGTATTGTGAGTCCAACTGAGAGCGAATAGGGCTCCCATTTGTCCCTTTTTTTTTCTTTATATACATGGTCATGTCTTTTAACTGGTTTGGTTCCAATAAATTTCCATTTTTATTGTTATTTGTTGAACTATTGTAAGTTCCTCTTTGTAAAAAGTATGTTGTCATAGTCGACGTTTTACAAGACGCCTGTTAGTGCACTGATGACCGTGTGGGCCTCCAAAAAGGAAAGTAGCAGATTCACCCAAGAGATAGTATAGAAGGAGGAAATACCTGCTGTACCCTCTACCTCTTACCCTGACTTTCATTACATTTGCATTTTCAAACATTACTGGGTTATGTTTTTATATGAGCTGTCTCCTCTTTTCTTTTTCCTCCCTCCGTCTAGGGTTTGTACGAGTATGTGAAGCCATCCTGGCAAAATCGACTGATCTTTGATGGTGAAGTGGACAAGAAATTTGGCTCTGCCTCTAGTCCCAACTTGTTGCCTGGAGCTCAGGTGGCCAGTGGTGGCTCCAGTGGTGACGGACCAGGGTAAGTGCTTGCAGTAGTAGACGTATTGGCTTTTGCAGTTTGGAAAGGAAAGGGATGGTGAGAGTCACCTTTTTTTTGTTCTCTTTCTGCTCTTTCACACTGGGGCTCATAGTTTGAGTTTAAAATAAAATAGGTACATCGGCTTTCTTAGGGTCAAATAGTGATTAGTAATGAAAGAGAGGTTTTTTTAAATAGTAGAGGGATAGCACAGAGATAGAACTTGCCATTGGTGCGTGTGTGTACCCCACTCCCTACCCCTTCCTCAACACTTCTAAGAGCTCATGGGTTACCATTTAAGTTCTTGAACTCACAGCTAATCTGGTTTTACAGACAAGGCCTTTTTTGTTCCAGAGTGTTGTGTCCCTAGCCCTATAGGCAGCCTCATATAATTTGCCTCTTGTGTCTTTTGTTTGTAGAAATCGCTGTTATACAAATCCATGTGTTATCGTGGAATATGTCCTTTTGAGTTTTCATTGTGATGAGTTAAAAATGGAAAATGTAACAAACTTTAAATATTTAGGTTCTGCAAATACAGAGGATGGAACGTGTATTAAGGATGTCAAATGCAGAATAGGCATGACTTGAAAAGTCTGATTTGGCCTGTAGTTTTGTATCGGAGTGCGGCTTAGGAAGACAAAGACAGAGTACAAGCTGCAGAAACGTGGTTTTTTCGAAGACTTAGACTGCTTTGGGTCAAATGGACAGATAAAAGAACGAATGAAAGTATCCTGAAAGAACTTGATACACAGAGCAGAATGCTTTTTGAGATCAGCTAAAGAAGACTCAAGTAACATGGTCACGCAAATAGAAGCATTAAAATAGACCCAATAGCAACTGTGCTGTAGGGCAGAACAGAGGCAAAGAAAATGAGGGAAGACCTCCTACATCACACATTTAAAATGTGAAATCTAACAGTGGTCTACAATTTCATGAAATAATACATCAAAGCAAAGGCTGGGGAAGATGGAGGCCTGTTGTGACTAAAAGTGGGGCACCCAAGGGTGAACACAACCATACGACAGGTGATAGGTGACTTGTGGTTGCAACTGGTTATGCTTTTGGCCGGTGTGCCAACTTCAAGGTCTGACTTGTTTGGCATTTAAAGTTTATATTTATTTTTTATTGTATATTCTATTTTTCCCTCTCCACACTGTGTCCCGATAAGCAACCAATATTTAGCCAAGTAAAGCACTGAACATCTCATCCACAGGGTGGATAAAACTTACAAGCTCTTCTATGGTGGAGGCCAGAAAAGACCAGATTCTGGAGCGAGCCGGCCAGTTCTGAACCGCGGTGGAACAGTGGTAGGTTATGTCCCCGACGGAGGGCGGAAGGATATCCGCAATGCTGTGGAAGCTGCTGTCAAAGCTGTAGGAAGGTAGGGAGAAAGTACTGAAAGGTGAAGACAAATGTAAAGAGAAGTTTTGTCTTGTTAATTTCGAAACATTTGTGAGCATGCCTGGTGAAAGGTACCAAAAGATGCATTTACTCGAACCGAGATATCAGGCTTCAAAGGTCAAAAATAGAATTTTTGACAAAAACTAAGTTCCCTTAAAAATGGATTCTTTAGCCATTCATGTATCGATATTTACAAGGCTTGGGTTTCTTTTACTGTAAAATACATTTTTAAAGATGTTTCTTAACACGAGGCATATTGCATAATTCCAAAAATGCGTAAGAAAATTGGTTTTCCGAGTAAACATTGTGGATCCATGGTTTCTCTTGTCCATTCGTAAAGTCAACCCAATCACATTGCATACCAAAATTTACGTCATTCTCTCCTCTCTCTAGTCGCAGATAGTGCACATGAATATCTAGAACATGTAAACAAAGCGAAGCTTTCTGCATCCCCACCCTTTCGCTTTTTTGGAGAGCAAACTTGTACATGTATCGCTCTTTTCTGCACTGCGAAAATCTACACTAGATCTATTTCTTGAAAATTCTTGTTCAAGGTTGTGGTGAATTTGTTTTGAAGATGTAATATAAACGCTTTGAAGCTGTTATTTTGTCTCAGATGCTTTTTAGAGTTGGTTTGTGTGTAGCAAATGTGTTGTCAGGTCGTCTCGAAGCGTAGATCTATCTATTTTAAGCAAAAACAAACGGAAACTTTAAAGCCGTTTTTCTCAAAACTTTGTTTCCGTACCCTGCCTTACAAAATCACTCGCATTTCAAAAAGTACTGAAGATATCTTAAAAATTCAAAATGCTTATTATTCAGAAATGATCTGTGTACATGAAAATGCAAAAAAATGGGATTCTTGAAAATGCATCATTTGGTACCTTATTTTTCTTAGCAAATGATGGTGACTTTTTGCATGAAAATTATGGGGAATTCAAGTCTTTTTTTTTTTCTGATGAAAAGTATGCGTTCTGATATGAAGTTTCATGAAAGTTTTCTGAAAAATATATCAAAAGGTGAAAAGGTATTATATTCTACCAATGAAAAGTGGTTTGAACCCTAACTTTCACTTTTTTCTTTTCTTTTCTTTAACACTTTGCAGTAACTCGTCGCAATAATACGACTGTGAAAATTATTCGTTCTGGTCTCTTGGCGCAGTTCTGCACCAAGCCCGAGAAGTCCGTTGCTGTCCCTCTCCTGGCTGGGTAACCAGATGGGGGGGTGGGGGGGGGGGGGGGGGATGTCTTCTTCACTTTTTTATCTGCTGAAAAAGTGTTAACGTCCAATCTCATTTTTTTTCTCTCAGTTGGTCAAAGAAAGAGGGTCATGGACGGGCCCAAATCATGTACTACCTGGCCGAGAATCTGGAGTCCCACAAAGAGGAGTACGCTGCTCTTCTCTCCACCATGACAGGACAAGAGCTGTCCTCAAGCGCTCAGGAAGTGCAGCAAGCAGTCCAGCGCCTCTTCTACTGGGCTGCCTATTGTGACAAATATGGTGGAGACCTTCAAGTAGGATCATGTTGATTTGATAACAATAATAATCATACTGATAGCCATTTTGAATTTTAAAATTTTTTTAGCACTGATCCTAATACAGTCGAACCTGTGTAAGACGGAATCGAAAGGGAGCGGGGAAAAAATTCCGTCATAGACATTTTCCGTCTTAGACAGGGGAATTTAGGGGGGTGTGGGGGTGGAGGGTTCAACAAAGGCCCAGCTGGTGGGATCTAGGATCGCTTGTCTGATCGACAAGCAGTGGTCAAAACTTCACACCTCTCAGCTGCTATCCTGTCTGATAGTGACATGCGTCAGTCTTACTTACCCAATTACCACCAATGCTTGCCTTTCATGGGACCACTGTTTGACCTGTTAAATACAGAAACTTTTGAACATCTCCTTTGCTTACCCCCTTAGTCCCACCCACAGAACACCAATAGTATTGGTCTTCTGTGGTCCCACCCACCAATGCCACCCCTCACTGCCATCATTGTAACAGCGATTCAAGGAACTCTTTTCTCAGCTGACCATACGATCAGGGCAGCAGGCATTGGTCAATCTAATTTCACACCTCTGGCTTCTGGCTACCCAGGAAAGTTCCCGTAGTGGCTGGCTACTCGAGCACTCTCACAGGCAGTCGTGAGATATCACACCCACACTACACTGACCATCTGCAGTGCTCACATGATGGGGTAACATAGGGTAACTTCTACTCTACCCCCATTGCACCCCTACTCCCCTTCCTCTCCCTGCGGCATGGCCATGGCCTTAAGTTTAGAGCCGGCGGAATCAAACTTCTGAGTTTTGTTTCAAATCAGGGCTGAGCGGGCAAAGCATTTTCCGTCTTAGACAGGTGAAACCCTCGGAAGGGAGCGGATTTTTCTTTCCGTTTCCGCGTTGGACAGGTTTCCGTTTTATACAGGTAATTAAAGAGGAATATATCAAGGGGGGAGCGGGGAGATTCTGTTAAGACAGGTTTCCGTTTTACACAGGTTTCCGTTAAGGCAGGTTCGACTGTATATGGCTCTAAGAGATGCTACAAGTTTTGTTACTTTTTTTCAGTCATGTGTGCCCTCTGGTGGAAAGCTTCACATTAACTCCTTATAGCTGGCCAGCTCATTTCCATTTTATCAGTTTAGTGCTATGGGATTAGGGCTATCATTATATCATAATTCTGATATTCTGTCTCCACTGATTTAATGTTTATCATAATTCTGATATTCTGTCTCCACTGATTTAATGTTTACCTCATTAAAATTTCACTCTGACTTTAGATTACAAGTTGCTCGCTTTTAATTCCTTTACTTTTCTCTCCTTACCATGCTAGCTACGTACTGTAGCTTGACCTCCTCTTGGATGTTAGAGGTCAACATCAGTTTTGTGATGGACGAACTGTTGTAATTATTGTTATAAACCCAGATCATACCGTCTAGTTATTCAGAGATACTTTCTGTGAGCAGCAGTTGTCTTGTCATCTAGTTGGAACTGTAAATTTATTATGATAATAATATTTATAATAATAATAGTAATAATGCTGATAACTTTTATAGGGTTCATTTCTGTATAATTCAGGTCTAGGCGCTTTACAATACCTTTATCTTAACACGAAATACATGTGCAAGAACTTGTATACTTACTCTCTGAAGATAATGCAAAGACATGAGCAGAAATTCAAACTATCACAGCACAATTGCTGAACATATGCACATCGCATTATGAACATGAGAGAAAAATGAAAAAGAAGGATAAACCTTCAAGATGGCAAATCGAATGCAATTTTATAGGAGAAATGAACTCCTGTGCTTTAGCAGATCAAATTCAGCAAATCAGAACTAGATCTAGCAACAATTTAGAAAATTTTTGCTAAGATGGGCTTCACAATTGTATGAAATCTTCAAAATCAGATAGACCTACTCTCCGTTTAAATTATAACATTAAAATTTTGTCTTATGAATACATCATCACTTCAGTATTCTATATAATAGGCCTACTTGTCCTTCCTCCATACAGTTACCACGTTATGTGTTAGTAATGAGAGAGGAAATGAATGAATGGGGGAGAGTGTAAGATAAAGACAGAGACAAAGAGAGATGTGTTGATATGATATTGTGTATTTATAGTTTTTGTTACAGAAGCTGATGACAGTACTTTTTTAATTTCTTCCAGTGAAGGATCAATAGAGTAATTCTTGTTTTAACTATTTCATTTGAATTATTTTTTTAAAGTTCTTTACTGTGCATTCACAAAATACAAACACTTTTCTATTTCTTACTGGACCCTCCTTTTTTCCCTGTAGGAAACCCCTTTCAGCGGATTCACTGTGAAACGCCATGAGTCAGTCGGAACGATTGGGATTGTGTGCCCTGATGAAGCCCCTCTCCTCAGTTTTATTTCTCTGATGGCTCCTGCCATTTCCAGAGGTAACCCTGTGATTGCAGTCCCAAGTGGAAAATACCCGATGGCGGCTCTAGGTTTTCAGCAGGTGGTTATTATGTTCTTATTTTCATTTTGATTTTGATTGTTTACCTTTACCCTATTATGAGTAATTCTGCTAAGTTCTCAATGACAATGGAGCCTTCTTGAACTTTGGTTGTTTGGGGAATTTGCTAGTCTCTACATGCTCTTGGCTCAGTCGTATTGGGGGTGGATGTGGAATTTGATCAAGTCTTGTAAATAACTTTCTTAGTTGAGAGGAGTCTTGAACCCATAAATTTATTGTGCAAACTACTTCATTGTGTCCAAAGCCACTCATTATCTCACTCAACCCTAGGCCTACACTTCAGGGTTGTCAGCTCTCCCTTGTGATTTTTACTACTTTTTGAAAAAAATAAATTTAATTGTAATTTTAACATAATATATCCAACCCAAAATTGATTTTATTTAAACCTTTATTTGTGTGTATTGAAAATTTGTATGCAATACTCTGTGGAAAAGGTCTATATTCTAAATTCGGGCTTGCACTTCTTGTCATAGTCTGTTTCAAATGAAAAATGGTTACTCTTCTAATCAGGCTATAGTCTGCCTCACACAAAAGTAGTGTTTTCGGTCACGAGAGCGAAATTTTCCATACCGATAATATCGGCGTTAGGGCTGGGTGAGTTAAAGGGAATTCAAAGTAAGGTGTGTTGCTTGACTTATATGAATTTTTAAAAAGAAGAGTTTCTTCTTCTTTTTTTCTGTCGTTTCGAGATTTCGTTGAATCTGATGTTGTATGCAAGGTTCACAGTATGCATACTGTTTGATATTCTTATTATTACTATTAATATTATTGTTGTTGTTATCAATTATATATATTTGGCAACTTGGAAATATGTGTCACTTTTCCCATAAAAATGCGACAGCTACAGAGTTGAAAGTTGGCTAGTACCTGCAAAAATATAGATAGGTCCTCAAGACGGAGCCCGATTTTTTATTTATTCATTTTCTGAGTTTAGAGAAATATATTTGACAAAAAGTTCTCGTCCTTCTTTGGCCTTTGTGATTATTCCACTGAGAAACGAAACAAATCTGTGTAGCTGTCCTCCAGTGAAAGTGCCGGAAGTGATATTTTACAAGGCGCATTTTGTTTTGACAGTATAGATCTGGACCTTCTAATTTTTTGCATCTCTCAAGATATATTACTCCATTCCAGTAGAGTAAATATAGTAGGCCAATGACTTTCAGTTGATGTTAATGCACCGATCATTCTTTCATCGAAAGGGGGCCCAGCTAGTTATTAAATAAATGTTATTTATTTTTTTTTTTTTTTTTTTTTTTTTTTCTCATTCTTCTTCTTATCAGTATCGTTATTATTGCCTCATGTATTAGATCCTTGAGACCTCTGATGTCCCGGCTGGAGTGGTGAATATCCTGACTGGTGACAGCGATGTTCTAGCCCGGGCCCTGGCTGAACACCATGACATTAGTGCTGTGTGGTACTTTGGTTCAGAAGGTGAGAAAATGTACTGCGGGCTGTGCGTTTAATGCTCCAGTCCCAGTCAGTTTGTACAAACCACTTTTGATCACATGGGGGCTGCTATGACAGGGTCGGAGAATGATTCACTAGACTGCCAACCTGCTTTCTGGACCTTTTATTTGAACTCGCTCCCTCGCTTTAAAAAATAAATGATAATAAATAGCAATTTTTATGGAGCATATTCCCACTCGGCAGCACCCTCTATTCACTTGACAATCTATATTATTATCCCAGCTGATCCTAGAATGCTCAGAAACATTCTCAACTTTCTGGAAAGATATGATCTAGATTATATTGATGAGATGAAAAAAGTTACAATCATTGTAGTCAAAACTTTTGCAAGCACTAATCATTTTCTTTTCACCCCCAGCTGGCTCACGCTACATGGAGTTTGCCTCTGCTGGTAATTTCAAGCGCACCTGGGTGAACTATGGCGTGTCAAGGGACTTTTCCTCACCCGAACAAGGCCAGGGACCAGAGTTTCTGTACCAGGCTACTGCTAGTAAATGTATCTGGCTCCCTATGGGCACAATATTTGCGAATTAATGAAATGGTTTCCTTTTTCTGGGATGGATAACAATATAATTTTTCGGTAAGGGAAACAGTTATTTTTTTAACCCTCTCACCGATGGAATTTTTTTGGGAATCTGGTAAAAGCAAAACCAGGTGTTTTTAATTCTTACATTCCTGAATGGGAAAAGTTACCCCGTGCTGGAAAGTCTATTCTATACACAGAGAAACATTATTTTGTCTTATTATTTGTTTTAATCTACTTAATGCAATTTGAAACTCCTTTATCATATTTCATTTGCTTATTATACCGTGAGTTTTCAACTGCAGATAATGGAGAAACACATATTTCAGTACTTTTCTTTAACACCTTTTCTTGGTCACTTTTGTTGAGCTCCTACCCATCAGAGTACTCTGAATTGTCTTCTCACTGTTTAAATTCTTTTATACAAACTGTCATAGTTTCAGAAGGTTATAGCCTACTGGTGAAAAGAATTCCCAGGATTTCTAGAGATCCACTTAAGTGACTAGTCATTTCAGTTTCTTCGTGTTTTGTACTTGTGTAGAAGAGGAAGATTTAATGTTTGCTAAGTTCTTTATAATAGCCTTTTGTGAGTGTGAAGAAAGTAAAAATCTTTTTTGTACATTGTTACACAATTTAGAATGATCTGTTTTGTTTTATTCCGAGCTTCCATTTTGGAGTTCATTGTGTGTTTGGAAAGGTGAAGGGAGAATTTTTTCAACTGCTGTTATGTCAGGCTGTGTATACAGATATGGCTGTGTCACTTATAAGGACCAAACAGATGTTGCTCAGAAATACAACCTTTGAGGAGTAACAAAGGTATTGTTCTCCTTTTATCCTGCATCTCACCTATTCCCCCCCCCCCCCTCCCCACCCACGTAGTATTGTGTCATCTATTTGCTTGGCTATGAACTTGTCTTTTTAACCCTTGACAGTGGGTGGTGTGGTGTGGTTTGCTTCTTCTTTCCTATCATACATGTATCGCTCTTATCTCCCCTTCTTTTTTTTTATGTTGTTACTCTCTTGTAACACCTCTAATCTTCTGGTGCTCTTATGACCTTATGCAGTTGCGAACGCTGTAAAACCTCTACTTATACTAAAACAATAACCCTTGACATTGACTTTTGTGAACTATCTCATATCTGTCGGTTCAAACTATCATTAGTTCCTTTTTTTAAGCTCTATCAATGTCTGAGACAGATAAGTCCTGACAAGCTTTTTCTTAGCTCTGTGAGGGAAATAATACCTTTCTGTCCCCGTCATTTTATGCTAGAAAAATTCTGAAATTACGCAAACTGAGCCCAAAAATGTGATATTATGCGATTCTGTTAATTTTAACAAAGAATGATAAAGGAAAATAATCAGAAATTATGCAAAAAATGATCAAATTTTGTTAAATTATGCGGGGTGCATAAACCCATGGGGACAGACCTTTATTCTGTGTACTAGTTCCCTAGTAAAGTTCCAGCTCTTGAGTTTAATAATAATGATAATAAACAGCACTTGTATAGCGCAAATTCCCTGCTCAACAGGAAGCAAAATTAATCTTTTTACTTTTATAGACGCTCTGTTTCGGACACTAGCACTAGCTAGCACAGGAACAATCATGCTATTAATTAGATGTTCTGGACTGCCAAGATGTTTAAGGCAGATCATAATTTTAACCGGGGTGCTATTATTAGCAGAAGACCACTGTTTTAAGTGTGACAAAAAGCGACTGACAAAAATAGGCTTGCTGATAGAATATCGTGGTGTTGTGTCGGAAGAAATCTCCAGATTTTTGTTGGAAGATGCTTGAGATTAGCTTTATTACTTTATTCTTATATTATAAACCTCTGAGATTTACAAAAATAACAGTTAATTAATCTTTTCCTTTTAGTGTATTTGGGGTTTTTTTGTGGTTTATATCTACTTTCTTGTACTTTGTTTATCAGCTTTAATTTTTCTCAGTTACTTTTGTTTTTGTTACAAGATGCGCATGTATTATGTGGGTTTAAAAAAATACATTGTCAACATCTGTCAACTTGTCTTTGTTTTGTATTATTTTTGCTGTGACCTTTCTTGCCTATCGCCTTTTTCTTAAGTTTCACTCTATGTTCAGTTCAAGGTTGAACAAAAGTGTTTTTAGGCTGATTTTTAAAAAATGTCAATTTATACTTTAAAGCAAACTTTTTTTTTTCGGTTATGTTTCCTGCTGTATTAATATCCATTCCTTTTAATATATGGTTCCTATGACTATGAGTTTGAGGCCTAAATAGTAGGTAGCGTAAACACGGCCTCGCGGGCACTCGCGGCCTTCCGACCGCGTGGTATCGGTAAAATTGGGGTAATTCCGATTGCTGTTTCTTTGCTCTTTCGCTATAAAACACCAAATGCCGTACACCTTGTAAAGGTTCAGCTTTTCCTTGTTACAATGGTGTAAGTTGTCTATATGTCCGATTTTAGGAGCTGGAGAATCGCCGACGAAAGCGAAGCCCCTCGCGGTCGGAATGCGAGGTCGGCCGGTTGAAAAATTAACACGCGTGCATTCAAATGCTTCGCGGAACGAGGAATGATTAAATACCGTCTTTTCATTGGCGGAGAACTGTAGAGCTTTAAATGGGCTTTCCCGTGATATAAGTTTAGCCTTTGGCGTCTTTATAGAAAGCTTTTAAAAATACCGTCAAAATGTTTAAAGATCCCTTTTTACACAAAATATGTATAATACCGACTTATAACAGGTATCAATTAAAAGATCAGTTCATTTTCTATTAGAATAAAGTTATTAACTTGGAATTATTTTTCATCAATCCTTCCGCGAGACTCGGAAAGCATGTGACCCCGCACGTGGGGTACACTACAGTGTAGAGCCGACTCTCTCGCCGCGGGGGCCGGTGCGGCGCCGGCGGGGTCAACGCTCGGTGTTTTTGTCGAAATAACGACAGATCATCGTGTTTGAGGCGATAAAATACTGATTTGTAAAGATCTCACAGTCTTTAAAAAAATTAGGCTCCATATATTTGTTATAGTGATTGTACTCTGTTAATGTGGAGATGTTTAGTGCACTTGGTACTCTTTTATTGTCTGTCAAACATGGGGTTGCAGCCTGTGACTGACTTCAACAAATTTGATCAAATTTTAAACAACTACAATTTTCTTAAAAATTGACGGAGAGGTTAAAGAATGGTACCAAGCTCAGTGGATATAGGCCTTTCAAATGGAACAGATAAATTTGGCATACAGCTAGTTTGAAAATTTAGTTTCTGGTACCTATAAATAGACACGTAGAGCTAGAGCATGTAGGGTACTACCTGTGTCTTTGACATAAAGGTTCTAGATTTTATTATTAGTATAGTCCACCTCCTGACAGGGTGCTCTTCATATTCTTGTTAATTAGTTTATATGCATAATATTGATTTTACATATTGAATAATTTAATTTGTTGATGAAATTGATTAACAGTGTTTGGTAACTTAACGTGTGATTGATTTCTGTCTATATTACTACCAATGAATCTCTCTGGGAGTGTGACGTGAATGTAATTAAATAGGTGTACGTTTTGTGTCCCTGCTCAAACAGATTTTCTAGTCTAAACATACATATTTTCTATAACAAGCCAGCTTTGAGCGTACCATACTTGGCTGCGGTATGTGAGTTACCTCTGGTTGAATCTCTGCATTTTGTATGTTTTTATTTTATGGCTTGGTGCTATTGGAAATGTCAGTTGAAGTTTTTGGCTCATAAAGAACTCTACAGTGGTGAGGCTCTTAACCTGGCTTGCACTTGCAGAGGGCATGAGTTTAATTCCTGGTTTACCGTTTAGGAGGAATTTTATATGCCATGCAAACTGGGTTGGCCCTGCTGATGCAGCTTGCTGCTCAGATCTAATCTGATTTTTATAAATTTGGTCATTAGGAATGTACAAACTTGTGTAGATCCTTTGTCTGGTGTGCCAGTCAAACTGGTTTTTGGTTCATGAAGTGTTTTGATCTTGAAGTCTTTTTTGAAAATTGTTAAAGACTTCATAAACTTTTTGGAAGATGTATAATGCCTTGTAATCTTAAGATGTCATGAATCTGTAGCTTTTTGTTTGCTGTTGCATGCAGAAGAGGTGATTTCGATTCCCATCGAAAGAAGTTTGTTTTATCAGGTTTCTCTCTTACTGTATCCCACTCAGTGATGTTAGTCCTGGGCAGCCAGGTCGAAGCAGCCTACCTAATAAATGATCTAAATTGTGTTGATGGGAGCATAAAATATTTACCATTGAGGTGTCCTGTGAGTTTTTCATAAACTCAAAAGTTGTAATCTACTGCCAGGGTTGAAGCTTTGCATTTGGTGTTCAAGTTATTTGCACAGACCCTTTGGTTTTTTTTGTTTCATTTAAGTTTTACTCCTGAGATAATATTTGCAAGCACAGCACTGGGTCCACTTAGGGTGGAAACTAAAATCTAGTAAGGAAGTCAAAAGCCAAGAAAATATTTGGTCATGCTCATATTGAAATAGTGAGCTTCGGCACCCTTTAAACAGTCTTTTTTAGATAAGTAAAATAGTTGTTTTTTTGTGAAATATAAAAAATCAATTTGTTTATGGACCTAATCATTCTAGAGAATTAGAGGGGATGGAAATTCCTACTTTTTTGTTGATCCGCTTGTTACCTACATATTATACCTATGTTGTGATAGTAAAACATTGAATAAACATAGGATTATCTTATAATATATATGCCAGTGTTTTATTGCTTTTTCTAACCTCATAAACTTATTATTATCATGATTTACACTTTACTCTCATCCAGTCATCTACTGCAATGTGCAAGCTGGGACCTGTACCTATATAAAAATCTTGTACTTGAAGTGAGGGTGGCATCTCAGTCATACCTCGTAACACCACCTATCATGGGATGATCAGGAAGTAGGCTGTGTAATGAGGTCCTTGAGCACATACTGCCCATTGTCAAGGGAAATGATTCTGCCATTACTACTAGATGAAATACAATATCCTGAGAGGCTTCTAACTTTTATTGCCCTGTGCCAAACTGCACCTGGAGAGTGATTTGCTGTTGTGACTCTCTCAGCGCTGCCCTCTCACCAGCATATGTTTTAGTAATCAGCAAATAGAAAATTAGTAATCTGGCTTTAAAAATTCATTATATGGCCATGGTTTTTGTCCTTTTCCATGGGGTGTCAAGAACAGGGGTTGTAGTCGAGTGTAAATGTAACATAAACAGAGACATGATGAACAAAAGAAGAGGTCTCGCCGGGCTCTCATTCAGTTCAGAACAGCTAAATCACAAATGTTTCAATTTTCAAACAATGATCCATTTTAAAAAGTATTCCCTGATTGGCCTAGGCTGTCGCCCACAACACAAAAGGCCAAGAATTTTCTATCGCCATGTCAACCTAATGTTTGCCTTACTCCTGGCTTTGGCACTTCTAAAGTCTAATGGGCTTTTTTAAGGGCAATGTGGCACTGAGCTACCACAAGTGCCCAATGCAAAGAGGGAGTAAAAGTTAACTGCACATGACGTAGTGACATAGACTATCCGGGTCAGGTAGCTGTTCTCCCTTTATTCACCGGGAAGGTTAGCAATTGGTTAGGGTAGACGAAATTTTTAAAAATCAGAATCAGGGGTATTACAATCATATTTTTGTAAAACTGAATAAAAATCTTAACTATTCCACCAAATTTGTAAAAATGGTCGGTGCATCCTCTTATAGATGATTGAAACAATAAATAAAAAACATATTAATGAATTAATTAACACATAGCAATGACAGACGTTTGGGCCTAACAGTAGGCTAGAAGACCTGTAGCCTATTTTTCTAAAAAGGACTGAAATAGTTTAAAATAAAGTTTGTGTGAACCATAAGGGCCTTCCCAGTAATTGACCTTATCATTCAATTTGACTGTTCTGGTCTTCTTTGGAACCCAAATGATTGCTTTCTGTAAGAAAAACTTTGTAGCAGTGTGGTTAAGTGGTAAGGCTCTTCCCCTTGAATGCAGATGTTTTACGACACTTGCAACACAATAAGGTCATATAAGTGCCGAAGATTAGAGGTGTTACAAAAGAGTAACAAACACAAAAAACAAGGAAGGGAGATAAAGCGATAGATGTTTGATAGGAAAGAAGAAGTAAACCACACCAGAGCACCCGCCAACCATCCACTCAGATGATGTGAGTATTGATTCCAACACGGGGAAGATATTCAATTAAATATATGTCTTTCAGTTGGGATCACACTCAGCCCGAGTGAATCCCAAACTTGACAAGGAGTATGGAAGCAGCCCCGACACTAAACTGATCTAAACTGAGGATGTGCCCGTGTCGGGGAAAATACAAGTAAAAGAACAAAACAATAAAAATTAATAAACTATGCCATTTGTACGAGCAAAACTATGACTTTTATTGACAACAGACAGGGAAGCGCACACATCAGTGGTATAGGGTTCATACTTCAAAAGTAATTAAAGAAGTAATTAAAGAAGGAAAAAAAGAAGCCAGGATCACTGAATTCAGCATTTAGGGATGAGAACCTTTTTCAAATACAAATGTTCTTTAAGGTTTCTGCAATCTTTCTTCTATTTTAAAAAAATATGTTTTAAAAAAACAAAAGTTTTTTTAAAGATTCTTCAACACAACAAAGGTGTTGAGTGCAAAACCAGCTAGATCTAGTCTGGGTACTTATTCACCGATAAAAGCTCTGTTAGCACATTTCTCACGCTCCTCAGCAGTTACCATGTGTCAACACAAGTGGCAAAGCCAAATGCAATGGCAACAAAAACATGTTTCTCTGACACGTCAAGTTTATGCCCAATACCTGCCACAAGTAACATTTCTTTGTTTAAGACAATTTCTCACTCAATAGCATCCATACATAGGCCTACATCAAATAAACAGTTTACATTTCTCATCACAAGGCACAAATGCTGCATTCAAAATAAATGCTCAATCAACATTCGCACAAAAAAAGACTGTCTCAAATATTTTCCATTTATGTGCAGTCATTACAACTCTCAAACAATGTCTTTACATTTCACACATTCACATTATCCTGTCACCACCATTCACTGCCTCCATATTCGTCAGAAGGTACATCAATCATCATCCCCTGGTGTATAGTCTGGATCATCATCGTCATCATCATCAAAATCATCATCCAAATCAAGATCACCCATGTTTTCAAACAAAGATTCGTCAACTTCCAATGTGTCCCCCTCTGAAAATAAAAATCATGAGAGATGTAAGTTTTATTTTGAATATCAAAGAGGCAAAGAACGAAAAGAAGAAAAATAAGTATGGTAAGGATTTTGCACCATCTTATGTTCATGAAATTTTTTTTAAAGTATTCTCTATTCAGCTTCAACAACTCCGCATCTGCCATCAATGTGTATTTTGAAAAGTGTTTTTCAAGAGCTTCTGCTCGGTAGACTGACTTACCGGTACCATTTTAACTCAATTAGTGCAAAAGTGCACCATGATCCATTATACTATATATAAAAAGAACAATAATTTGTTGACTCTAGTTTATTACTGACTGCAAATTAATTTGTTTTTAGAAAAGTAAGACATTCAATGACTAAAGTTGCAGTGTGGGAAAAAAAAATTAATGCAGACGTCTTATTTTTTCAGATCGGGTTCATAACTTCTTTTGATGGAAGAGACCTAACTAATGTGCTCATGGGCACATATATACATAAGAATGATATGCAATATATATATATATAAAAAGACTGAATCAGCCTTGAAATCCATCAACACAATATTCCATTAGTTTCACACTGCCCTTTCTCTTATCCCCCCACCCCCCCGTCTTGTAAGAAGCAGAATACAAGCTGTCAAACAAAGAACAGCCTTCAAGACAGCTGAAGGTCTTTTTTTTATCCATGTGCTATGGGATGTCCCTCTTTGAACAACAAAATACCAGCATCTATAGCGTAGTGGTTAGGCACTTTACTGTCGTACACAGGATACCCAAGTTCAATTCACGAGTGCGGAGAAATTATCATGGTCTTTCCGCGGGGGTGTTGATCCTATTAGCCCGAGATGGCCCTGACAGACAGGGTGAGAAGCCAGCCTCTCTATTTGATATAAATTGTGACAATAGGGGGCATAAAAGAACCTATATATGTAAAAATAATAATTTTTTAAAACAGCAAATTGACACATGCCAACCGTGAACCCTATTTCAAAACATTTCAGGCAAACAAACATTTGAAAGAATGCCTCCACATAACATTGCTTTGCAGGAGAGTGGGAAAAGGGGGAGAGAAAACAGATTACAGATATCTACTAGGATATCCTGCTTTGAACAAGATTATATTTATAAAGGCCAATACAATGCTTGCCAGTTTCTCTCTTGACTTCAGCCTTTCTAATTCATGAAGCCTCTTATAATTTGCTGCCCTCTGTGATTGTTTTTCTCCAACTGGTCTGTCAGGAGCTATACTCTCCCATGTCAAGGGATTAATGTTGAAGATCTTCAGAGACCTTTTCAGGGGGCCTTTGTAGTGTTTTTAGGTGCACCAGCTATACGTTTCCCTGAGAACAGCTTAGAATAGAATACTACCTTTGGGATTCTGAAATCAAGAAATTCCTGCGACATTGCCAGGCCCGCAACTTTGAGTACTTTTGAGCTTAAAGACTCTTGACATTTGCCTCTTTCAGAACTTGGGTGTCTAGTATTTTGTCCTGCCATTTCATGCCAAGAATTCTCCTGAGACATTTCAAGTGGATCAAGCTTCTTGGTATGGCTTTGGTACACTGTCCAAGTCTCAGCCACGAACAACAGGGTTGGGACGACAACAGAACTGTAGACTTTCAATTTTGTCTCTGTGGGAATGCCACAGAAGTCCCAAAGTCAGCTGCCACCTCACTCATCAGTTGCTGAAGGAATTTGATGGAGATGGACAACAAAGACAAAGGAAAAGATAGATAAGGGCAGATGTTTGACATGCGCAAAGGTTTTTCTTAAGTGAGAAAGAGCAGCGCAAACATCAAAATCACTCTGTCGTTTAAGTACAATGTGACTGATGGCAAGATAAAGACAAGACAATTAGAAGGCAAACACAGAGATTCCAGAACTCACCAGCTTGAAGGAATTTCACGTCAGAATCGTTCATGGTGTTATCTGATAGGAAAAGCGCTTTACCTGTCGAAAAGAGATCAAAATGCTTTTAAATCAAGCACTGGAATGTGCTAAAATTTCACTTTCTTAATTAGTTTCATCAAAGTTGACCTTAAATAGGGTACACTATAAAGATCCATGGCAAATATGTAGGCAAAAAAGCACCAACAATGGATAATTACACATTTTAGGCGACCAGACCCATGTCTTTTTCAGATTGGACTGTTTCTCACTCTTGACCATAGCTATCTGAAAGTGAAAGCTGACAGTGGAAGTTTCTTAACCCTTAAAGTGGCAGTAACGATAAAACTGAACACCAAATAGCGCCACCCCCCAAACAACAGAAAAATGGGATTATTATCTTGATAACATGTTTGACGTGTTTAATAAACTAGTCATTTAATTATTTATATATACAATAATTTCCACATAAAAACACTCGACACAAGAACCCTGTCTGTCTTAAGAATTCATTTCATTATAACAGAATTTTTCCTCCATAATCTGCATGCCTCGGATCCTGTCAAAAAATTGAAATACACTTAAGAATCCACTTTGAACTCAAAATGCAATTGGCTGGTGTGGTTTATCAAAGGAAGAAATCTACATTCTATGCAGTGCGATCTGTGTTTGAAAAGTTGTACTTAGATCTCTCTCTCTCTCTCACCCTCTCTCTGTGTTTGTGTGTGTGTGTGTGTGTGTGTGTGTGTGCGTGCATGTGTGTGAGAGAGCATTTTACATGCACTGCTGGATCAGACGCTACTTGTTAAATGCCTGAAATCTATTGTATGGTACACGACAAGGCTTGGGAGGGACTTATATATTATATTACTGCTCAGCTGCTGAGCAGATGCAGTACTCTATGTTTAGTGATAAGGCGGAGCAAATTTACACAAGTGGTTTCAAGGACCTTACAACCTTATCTGTAGTGTGTGTAAGCTGCTAGAACTTCTTTGAATCTAGTCAAATGAGGATGGGTGCTGGGTGGACAGGTGTGATCGAAGATAGACAGTATGGGGCTCATTGGGCTGTATGTTGTGTGAATTATGTTTGTGTTTGTGTGCATCACATTTGGTTTAAAGGGGCAAATAGTATGTTTATATACAGGCATTCTTTTAGGTACATTGAAAAAAACATAATGATTAGCATGGTGGCAGTATAACGGGAGCCGTTTAATGACTGGTGGGTGGTTGGCGGAAGTTCTGGTATGTATTCCTCTAATTTTTGGCACTTTCATAACTTTTTAATTGGGCCCTATGGTGTTGCAAGTGCCATAAAACTCTTATGAGCCAACCACACCAGAGCACCCACCAACCATCCACAAAGTAAACATTTGTAAGGCTTTTTTACCAGTAGGCTTTTTAGCAGCACTGTCATCATAGCCTTTCAGTCTTCTCATTTCTGCTATTTCAGCATCAAATTTCAATTTCCATGCCATGAATGTTTCCACTGTTACTCTTGTGCCTTCAAATCGTTTCTGTGAAAATGGAACAAAGCAAAAACACATAATAATATATATATATAAGGACAAAGACAAAATACATGATGTGTCCCATCTTTGATTTTAAAGTAAAGCAGACATAAACATCATTTAAAGTAACATTAAATGACTGAAGAATAACACCACTCATCCACTAAAAAAAAAAAATCAGGTTACACATGAAAGTGGAAAAAATTTGGTACCATAGGTCATCAGTATTTGTACACACACACAAACATTAGGAAAATTCTGCATAAACCATACTTTTTCACAGTAAAAAGCCAAAAAGAACCCCAAACAAACAAAGAAACTAAGTCAATCCAGAAACACACCCTCTGAAAATTTTTCCTCAGCATAAAAATTATAATTAAACATGACCTTAGGCTATAAAACAAATTGCACTTACTCTTTCTGCTTCCTCCTCTTCCCTCACTCGTCTTTCCTCCGCTTCCACCTTGTCTTTCGCTGCTTTCTCCATCATGTCAGTCATGTGTTCTTGTACAGCAGAAATAAGGGTGAAAATCATTGCCATTCCTAAATTTTCCTCTGCCTGAAAATACACCAAAAAAGAAAAACAACCAATGACATAGCAGTACTAACAAATGTGACCTACATTAAGAAAATGTCTGACAAGAACAAAAAGTGTTATGTCAGACATCATCAAGTCACATACAATACTACAGGCGAGCACAGATAGTTCCAACACGCAAAACTCAACTTCATGGACAAATCAAACAATACGCCATTTCCCGACTACATAGTTATAATTTCTTTGTATTGGCAGCACTAGATTTTTTAACACCCACGTGGGTGTCAAACAGCTCATTCGAAAAACCTGATCAAACTGTTCCACACAATTGTCTTAAATTCAAATCCCCAAGTGTGAGTACTGTTATTAGGTAACATGAGCTCACCAGACTCACCGCCACACAGCATGATTCTGGTATCGAAAAGCGATACCGTAACTTACTTGCATTGTGCATAAGGTGCTAGAACTTTTAAAAATCTAGTCACATGAGGATGGGTGCTGGGCGGTTAGGTGTGATTGAAGACAGACAGAGTGGTGCTTTGCTGGGCCATACGGAGTGTGAATTATGTTGGTGTTTGTGTGCAAATGAGTGTTCCATTGTGTGCGTGGTTGTTTGAATATAAAGGAATGGATCGGAGGGGTGAGTGGCGTGTTCTCACCAGTGTTGATTACATTTCTTTTGCTTTAACACCAAACAAGATGTATTCATTATCCATTCTTCTATTCTTTTTATCAATACCAGGAACTTTTCATGATGCCAGAGAGAAGAAAACTTAATCCTCTGTTGGTTACTTCCCTTGATTTTCTTCCATATATTTTTTTTCATTAATGTGACGTACTCGATTTATGGATGTGACAATGACATATTTTTTACAATTTTTTTTTTTTTATGCCTACAGTATAATGCCTCTAAATCAGACTGAATTCTTTGATAAGAGTAGGGTAATTCCGTAATTGTAAATACATATAATTTTGAACACATTGGTAAATCCCAATTCATTTCAAGCAAATCGATGTGAATCCATTGGCCTTTGTTGAAAGTTTTTGCTTTTACTATTCCAAGATAGAAATACCTTCCATTTACAACAAAGACTCTCCCCCCCCCCAAAAAAAAAATCCCCCATCATTCCCTCTCTCTCTCTCCCTCTCTCAATGACTGACTAAACTGACTTACTTGAGTCTTCATGAGATCCATGAGGGAATCTAGCTGTCCATCGTCCATGTTGTCATTAGACACAAACTCTATAAGCGGAGCACTGTCTGGGTAATCGGAGGTGTAAGAAAACTGGATCTCTGCAGACACTACAACACAAAGAAAAAAAATTAACCGTATTCTTTTTGACGAAAGAAAAGTCCCATTAGACAAAATAAAGTGGGGGAACAGAGAAGAAGAAAGTAAAGAATGGGGTGAGGGTTAGAGTGGAATTTTTAAATTTTCAAGTGACAACACGAATAATACATTTAAGCAATTCTTAAGACAACGATATACCACAATAATAACAAATCCATTTGAAAATTTGCTTCACCAGCCACACAAAAGGTGTTGCATCCTTAGTAAATTAAACAAATACCACATTTCACATATCCACCTGCTCTTGCCAAACAAACTGTTATGTCGACAATCTCTTTTCTTAAAGGCTTTCTTTGCTGTTATTCTCCAGTCTCCTATCAGTCACTATTATCTGCATCACTGATTTAACAAAACATTTGGTCACATATTAGTTACAGAACCATTACCAGTGGTTGCAAAACACTCTGCGGGTGGTTTAGTACATCAGATAAAGAGGCTCAAGTTACAAGACTCAAATTTCTGATAGAAAGGAAAAACACTTCCATTTCAAGATTTGCCTTTTAATAAAAATCCAACCTTCCCAGTGCGTAGAAAAATCTGACATTTTCAACTAAGTCAGTAAATCAGTAAATTTTTTAAGCCCACCCAAGCTGTATTTAGTGTTCAGACAGAAAAAAAACTAAATGTACAGATGTAAACAGGTAAAACTTTCAAAATGAAAAAAAAGTGCATTACTGGAAGCACTTTTAAATCAAAATCAAAGGAATCAGCCTTTGAGAGTGGGTCTGTACTTTGAATTGTACAATGCACCTATGTGTTACATATTTTCCTGCCTAAAACTAGCCAGAAACAGACGGCTTCTTAACTTATATCAAGAGGAAATAAAATTGTACAGAGGAAACCATAGGGTAGAGAAGGGAAACTGCATATGTTTTTAACTTTTCCAGAAAGAAACAAGGGAACTGAATACACATTGAACAAATATTAGAAATAAATACACTTACTTGCATGGTCAGGAAAATTTTCAGCATCTTGAGGTACAACTTTTATTTTGAACATATACTGGGGTTCTTCTTGTAAAACTGAAAAATAAAGGAAGGACATGTGATGAAATCAGCATTGAATATAAATGAAAATTTTTTTCACAATAAATTCTATACAACTTTATCTTTTGAAAATCAAAAAAACACATAGACATAAATTATACTAAGAATGGGTCATGGAGAAATTACTTTATCGAGTATCTCCATCTGTCAACTGAGATGAATAATTCCGCTCAGCTTTGGCACACCCAGACAAGCAGTATCAAAGCAGCAAGTCTCCTAAATTTATCTAAAGTTTCGATAGTCACGCAAAATGTTTACAATCATTTTTTTACTTCTAGTGGTCAAGAATATAAGTTTCACTGCTATTATCGCTACAAAAGAGAAAGTGTTTCCTGTATCGCATCAGCAAAACAAGAACTGTCAGAGATAGTATGGTGTACGAAATTGGACACTGGTTCTTCAAGCATCCAGTACTCTAGAACTAATTTATAATGTTTCAAAAAGACAAGGTGCACCCCAGCATAAAAATCAAAGATATCAACAGCATGTATACATGTGTTTACGAGGACTGACTCTGGATTTTTTTAAGTAAAAAAAAAATCAGCGCTTGACTACTGAACATTTTAAATCTAACTCGTTACCAGCTTCGTTAAATTTCTTATAACAGCATTAACATCTTATCTCTGGGGCTCAGAGGCAATTTCTTGGAATCAAAAGGAAATGCCCGTTATTTACAGTCCTTCCAAGAGTACATATTTTGATGCAAAAATCTTGAGCCTATGATAGCACAATGAGTATCAATTCATTTTTGTTGTTGGTTTACTTTTCCAGTCATCCCGTGCATTCAATTAGTATTGATGGTGCCAGTGCTAAATTTTGGTGGTAGTCATGGCAGGGCAGCCTTCTGTTAAGCTTGATAATGGCCACATATAGGGCTACCAGCCTCATAATGGTATACCAAAGTGGTCACTGTTTCCCACAATCTCAATCATAAAATCAAACTTATCTAGCATGAAAGCCGTATATGTGGGCACACCTCCCCACGTGTGAAATCAAAACTTCTTTAGGGTTACTCAGTGAGTCATTACCATTACCTCTGAGCCTAAAAATTGCATCAACATGTGAACAAATTAACTTATAAGCAGAGTGATAAAAACAATGTCAAAGCATCGCAAAGCACAGGTCGGGCCCAACCGTTAAGCTGTCAATGCAATGCAGTAGTACACCTCAAACTCAAGGAGACCTTGAAAAGCCGGGGATTCTTATTTTCTATATATGTTATATCATAAATTAAAATTCAACAAAATACAGGGCAGTCTAAATGGTCGATGACAGTCAAATCCCCCACAGTCAAAGACAAAAGTGGCCATTTTAAAAGGGTGAACGCTTTTACAAGATTACAAGATGTGACCGTAATGTAAAAAAAAAAAAAGAAAAACCCTCAACATCACAAGATGAGACAGTAAAAAGTTTGGTTTATGCATTGGCACTGAGTCCTGCCTGCCTTTCATGATATTTCATCCTAGAAAAACAGAGAATAAAATGGTTTGGCCCTATAACAACAAGCGCTCAGGCTACTAAGGAAGAGGAAGAGGAAGGCCACCCAAAAGGTGGATAGAGGAAGGCAAGGAAACCCTGAGGTATCCCAATTGAAAGAACCGCAGAGCTGGCCTACCACAGAAAACTAAAACTTCATCTCTCCTCGATGCTTAGGCCTACCCGACTAGGTATTTTTATAGAATCACTCCCGTCTCGCGTCACATCCACTACCGGAAGTAAGCTCCTACACCACTTTAGTGCCATCGGATGACGAATAAGGTCAATTTAGGTTTAAAGTTAAGGCTCAGTAGTCTTTTTGTTTATGCATGCTTTTGTAGTCATTTGGGGGGTTTCAGGGGGTCTCCCCCTGTCTAGCGAGTACAAAATAGCTGCGTAGTGGGGAGTGGGGGGGGGGGATTCAGGATGGTGTGCCGTAACATCTAAACTAACCATTTGCGTCATTTTTTTACGCCAAAATCGTGTTCTGGGCCCTAAAAAAAGCCCTAAAAGACTACAAAATAATACCCTTTATGAAACAGGAGTGTTTCTAAAAATTTACCCCTAACGGCAACACAAGATGAAAAAGTAAAAGTAATGAAGTCAATATTTGGGGAGGAATTCCGTAACGAGCGACCACTATACAGAGTAGAATAGAGGGTTGGGGTTAGGATCAAGGTTAGGCTAGGGGTAGGGGCAGAGGTAGGGGTAGGGTAGGGGTAAGGTTAGGGATTGGGACAGGGTCAGGACTCTTCTTTATTCTATTGGCCAGCTCTATTCAGACTCGAGTCGGATTAGATCTTTTATCTATGCGGACTCGAGTCTGAATATGGGTTTTATCTAGGCCTATTCGGACTCGGGTCCGCAAAATATATTTTATTTATTCTGACTCGGCTTCTTCTTAGTGAGTTATGTGAGTGTACGGAGGTTACATACTGTCGTCGGGGAATATTGCGTGAAACCAGAATTAGAACTAAATCTAGAATTGCCTACTAGGACTGTGTAATTGTGCCAAAGTCAAAAGACTGCACTCTAATTGGCCAACGGCAGTGTCTAAGAGTACAGTCAAACCTGTGTAAGACGGCCACCCATTGTCAAGGAGAAAAGTGGCCGTATAAGACAGGTGGCCGTCTTAGGCAGGACTGATCAAAATGAAGAAAACAAACCATTCCTGTCTGATTTCCCAACTGATGGTAGCCGCTTTGTTGTTAATGTTGTTGTTTTCGCTAGGTTTTTTTTCTCTTTTTTTTTCTCTTGTTGCTGCTTTTGTGCAAGGGTGACAATAAAACGAAATGTGTAAGACAATCAGACAAGGAGTAGGAGGACCGAGTGCCATGGTAAAAAAAACACATGGGTTGTCACCGCTTGGAGAACAGGCGACGCTTCTGCAACAACTTCATGTTGACGTCCATTGTTACTTTGTTACAGACTGGGTAAACAGTGACCACTCATCTCACTTAGTATTTGTGTATGAGTTCTGGGCGGGGCTTATGGGTTATAAGGGATCACATGCTTCCCTCATCAGCAGTTGAAAATGTATTGTTACCTATTGGTCAACAATGGGAGGGGCCTACGCAACATGATCGGTTGGAGGGACTACCTAACAACATCAACAGGTGATTGAATTATGATGGCTCGCCCACAACGCCAGGGGTCAGTGCAAGATTTCTGACAATTAATGGAGTCACTAAGGTGGCCGTCTAAGACAGGTGTTATTGCTTTGTGTGATAGGAGTTGTGTGGTAAAATATGGTGGCCATGTTGGACAGGTGCCCGTTTTACACAGTTAAATTATATAGAAAAAACGCAAGGGGGGAAATGGAAAGTGGCCGTTTGTACAGGAGGCCGTCTTATAGAGGTGGCCGTCAGGACAGGTTCGACTGTACACGGTAACCGACAACTCAGGGTCTTTCCACCACCACTACAGCATCATCATTACTTCCACCACATTTGTCTTTCCACATGTTTAATTTCATTTTGTTGCGTTATAGTTTTTCTGTAATTACTTTTTTTTAAAATCACATCGCACAAAATCGACAGCTGTGGCCTCTTCCCAACACCTCTTCCCCCAGCAAGCCGAGAGTGTGTGATCGGTACAGATCTATGCTAGTTAGTAGTAACTGGATATTAAAGCTCACGTCTCGATTATTATCATAATAATAACGAAATTTATCATAAATGCTGGAAATATTTACGAACAAGGGTCGGAAGTCGGAACGGACATCATGTTGGACTCAATTCAGAGTCTGAATATTATTACTTTGGTATCGGACTCGAGTCCAAATAGATAGTCACCTTACAAGTACAGTCAAACCCTTGTAAGACGGCCGCCCAATGTCAAGGAGAAAAGTGGCCATCTTAGGCAGGACTGATCAAGATGAAAGAAACAAACCATTCCCATCTGAGGTTCCAATCAAAAGTAGCTGCATGGTTGTTGTTTTTGTTGGTTTGTATTTTGTTTGTCCCCAACAACAAAAATTGACAGAAAAACAACACATCAGAACAATAACAAGAAAAAAAATTACACACTAACAAAATAAAACACCACAAAGAATCAAAGAGGGAAAAATAAAAGTAACTGTAACGTATTAAACAAATCAACGTGGTGACAACAAGTGAGAAAGAGACTAAGTGAAGCTAAGTGAAGTTTCTTTCAAAAGTAAAGAGGTTCGGTTTCTTTCTTTTTTTTTTTTTTTTTTTAAATTTGACTTTTATTCCCCGACCAAAAAATGCCAAAATGCCAAAAAATCGAGCCACGATTGAATGATCGCGGCCGTGACAAACGCAGAAGCTAGTTCTATGTGTCATTATCAATAACCCTCCACGTAGATCTAGATCTAGACAGCACACGAGTGAACACAACACATTAAATTTAAGAGCAGCACCCTTCATAGGCAACACGTCATATCTATAGCGAAAAACTGTTTGGAACTGTAGCATTTCTTTATATAAAAAATATTTACTGCTGACATTTTTGGGACCGATTGAACCATACAGTATACGAACAATCTTTGGTAGGTCTATACTCTATATAATATCCAAAATTTGCGGGAAAGGATGTGATTTCAGAGTGTGCGGAGAAATAGTGCCCAGCTTTATTTTCCAGAACGTTCGGAGAAATAGTGCCAGCCAAAACAAAATGTATCAGACGAGGAAGACCGAGTGCCATGTTAAAACAAAGACATGGGTCACCACCACTCGGAGAACGAGCGACGCTTCGGTCACAAGTTTTGGTTGACTTCCATTGTTACTTCGTTACTGACCGGGTAAACAGTGACCACTCATCTCACGATTTGTGCATGAGTTCTGGGCGGGGCTTACGGGTTATGAGGAATCACACGCTTACCTCACGAGCAGCTGAAAATTGGTACCTATTGGTCAACATTGGGAGAGGCAACATGATCGGTTGGAGGCACTACCTAACAACAATGACAGGTGATTGGATTATGACGGCTCACCCACAACGCCAGGGGCCAAAGCGCAATTTATGACAAAACGTAATGGAGTCACTAAGGTGGCCGTCTAAGACAGGTGTTATTGCTTAGTGTGATAGGGGTTGCCAAAAATGTGGTTGCCGTCTTATAGAGGTGGCCGTCAGGGCAGGTTCGATTGTACAGTCAAACCTGCCATGACAGCCACCTGTAGACACGGCCACTTTCCAATTCCCCCTTGCGTTTTTTCTATATAATTTAACTGTGAAAAACGGGCACGTGTCCCACGCGGCCGCGGCCACCATATTCTAACCTACAACCCCTATCACAGTAAACAGTAACACCTGTCTTAGACGGCCATCTTAGTGACTCCATTACGTTTTGTTATAAATCATGCATAAGTCATCATGTAGCGTAGGCCCCTCCCACTGTTGACCTATAGGCAACAAATTTTTAGCTGCTGGTGAGGTAAGCATGAGATCCCTCATACCCATAAGCCCCTCCCCAGAACTCATACACACAAATTGTAAGTGAGATGAGTGGTCACTGTTTTCCCAGTCCGTAACACAATGGACGTCAACATGAACTTGTGACAGAAGCGTCGCTCATTCTCCGAGTGGTGGCGATCCATGTGTTTGTTTTTCCATAGTGCTCGGTCCTCCTTGTCTGACACATTTCGTTTTATTGTCACCCTTGCACAAAAGCAGAATGTGAGTCGTGAATCCGGCTTCCTGTCCTGCCTCACTCGTGACTCGCTTCAGGCTGGGTAGAGACCGGGATCACTTCGGGCAAAAAGGCGTTTTGTGCAGGAGCCGAGTTTTAATCTTATGATGAATTTGAGGCCGGCCTGAAAAGTTATAGCGCTTCTAATAAATGTTTATTTATCAAGAGGTCATCAGAAGCAATTAAAGATGGCTCGTTAGCATGTGTCGGGGTCGGATGGGCGGCCTGCACACGTGTGGCTGTGTGCGTGTCGGGGAGGGTGGTGGGGGGCACTATCGGTCCGGGCTTTGAACGTCGCATAAGCGTCGGTCTTTTTCCCCCCGGCAACTGATCATTATTACAATAATAAGCTAGTCTTGACGTAGATCTACGTAATGAATTGTGCGCTGGTCTATGGAATCAAAAGTTGCCGTATGCTCAGCTCTACATTCTACATAGCAACACAACTTTTTCTTGGTAAACAATCGATATGACACAGGCTTGTGTATTTGAACGAATCGGTCTTTGTTTGTTTTTTACACAGCTCATAATATGCCAGGTGGTCTGCTAATCTTCAATTATTCGAGTCCGAATAACGACGGCCAAAGCAGAAACAAAAGAATAAGAAAAAAAACCCAGCGAAAACAACACAACAACAATGCGGCTACCTTCGGTTGGGACCTCAGAAAAGAACGGTTTGTTTTCTTTATCTTGATCAGTCCTGCCTAAGACGGCCACCTGTCTTATACTGCCACTTTTCTCCTTGACAAAGGGTGACCGTCTCTCGCATGTTCGACTGTTTTGTATTTGTTGGGGGGGGGGAGGGGGGGTTGCTCCTTCACAGCCCAGAAGTCCTCCCAATATTTGTGTAAAATGGATAATATGAATATCTAGCCAGGCTATACAATTCAATAGGCTACCTGATCGTGAGGCGGTAGTGAAAGTAAAATAATACTGAGGCTGTAACATTCTCAGTCTGCCAATGAACTTACTTTCGATTTCGTCTGGATAAATGGACTGAAGAGCTTCAATCTCATTTTTCTGGTCTTCTGCATAGTCTGTCATCTTGAAATCACGCGTGAAAAGCTTACATTCGTTTTTTTAAAAACCCTGAGACCAACTGATATGAGTCCAACTTGAAAGACAGAATCATGCTTTCACCGGCATGCTGCAGTCTGTCAGTTCCATCAACATTGAACAGAAAAGGCCTACTGCACACTACACACTCTGGCTTTCCCGTTCCGAGTTCCCGTTCTTTCTTGCCAAATAATGTGGTCTGAAGTCTGAGCACAGTTGTCTCCCATCCAGCGGCTTTCCCCTTGTAACGTCATTTGTGATTAGTCTTTTCCATTACAAATAGCCAATCATAGAGAAGTTTTTATCAAGAAAATGGTGATCAAATAATGTTGTTTACTTCCGGGGTTGACGCCTTCTCTTATTTGCCTCCCTTGCATTGCTTTCGCAGGGGCCGTCTGCTGTTTCAAGCTCATCGGGACAGTTCAGAGGGCTTAGTTATGAACTTTACTGTTATTTAAATTCTGGATATTGTACATTTTGGACAGTCGATCTGCTTTTCATCGTATATCACAGTTTCCAGGCTGATATAGATCTAGTGATATTCTACAATGTCTCGACAAGGGAATCGCGCTGGTGATCCCAGAAAAGTGGTACGACCGTGTTGTTGTTATGAACTCCCGACTCCTGACATTACTTCTGACAATTCGTAATGAAAATGGCAATGCCGATGTCAATGTGACTGACTTTTAGGTCTTGTTTATAATTTTATCATCTTGTTACAGACTTGGGCAATCATCCTCTAGATCTAGATGTAGATATCTTAGATCTAGATGTGCCTGTTTTATTCACATTTTGCTGGATTCGTGTATAAATTGAGGGTGAGTGAGGGATTGGGTAGTCTTAAAACACACAGGTTACCGTAAAAGGGGTTAAATCTGTTGTAAATGGTGCTTATCCTCTATATATTTAAACAAGTAGACAGGCGGGAAAAGGTAGCGTGTTGGGGATAGACCTCGGTGACACATAAATTATAAATACCTGGTCCCCATTGTGACTGTCGGTTCAGTTTGGTTGAGCTAGCTAGATTTTCCTCCATGATGGAAGAAAAGCTACCGTCCTGGCAAAACTGATGGAAATCAACAATGACCTTCATAAACAAACGAATTGTGGGGCATTGTGGTAAAATCAGGTTCTTGTCAAAATAATAAAAACCAAGGAACTAGATCTAGATCTATAGACACCTGCCCTTGGTACGACCGTGCCCTGAGCGCGACCAGTTCCCCATTTTTCCTTCTGTGCAGCTCGTGTGCAATCTGTTTTATTAGAGTTACATGCCTTGTCTAGTTCCACTTTTGGTAAATCCTTTTCCAAGAACGTCAGTCGTCTACTAGTGCAGCAGTCGAGTTCGAAGTGAAAGGCTTATTTATCAGAAACATTCTTAGAGAAGTTTTCTTCAGTTACTAAACTAGAGTAGCTGGCCCAACCCGCGACCACTTGTCTCTGTACCCTCTGTTATCAATAAGATAATTGTTTTCATCATGATTTGATAAAGAAATGATTTTACTAACCCTTAAATGGTGTACTAACAACTTTCTTGCTCCTGTCATATCTGTACGCGCATGGTCGCACCTTGTTCCGTTTGCGGTCGCGCTGAGGGCATGCGGTCGCGCCAAGGGCAGAGCATTAACATGTTAAAATGCGAAATCTGAGAATGACGTTTTGGAATGATTGACGATATCACAGTATAAACCGGAAGTTGACACACTGAAGCGGCCCTGAACATGGATTGCATGACCTATTTTGCTGACAGAGACCGCTGAGAAGCGAAATACGACAAGTGGTCGCGGGCTGGGCCAGGTACTCTAGCATTTTTCCGCGGGTTGGGCAATTTTTATCAAATTTTAGGTGTTTGGCTAACTCTTTAGCTAGATCTAAAATCTAGATCTTATATGTTGGGCGCGATCTGTCGAGATCGCGCAGCGCATTTGGTTGATCGAGGAAACGCGCGACAATCCATCGATTGTTGCGCATTCTGTTGATCAGCAGATTGCGCAGCGCTTTTTGTCGATCCGTTTGGTTGCGCATTCTATAGGCCTAGATCTTACCCCTGAGTTTTGTACATGTTTTATTGTCGTCCGGAGTGTAATTTAGTTTCACTCTCCAAAGTCAAACCGAAACTGAATGGAAGTAACTGGAAGTCAGGGTTACAATAACCTACTACATCGCAATATCGGAAGTTGAAATCAGGGTTATAGGTCGGTGAGTATCACTCCGAACACGTATTCAATATGGAACGGTTCACGGCGATAATGGAGAAAGAAGCGCAGTTATTGTCTAAAAATCCTGTGTCTGCGTTACTGACAAAAGAGAAGTTTGAAGGGGCTCTCGTGGCCTAGAGGTTAAGGTGTTGGCCTCTCATTCAAAGGTCCCGGGTTCGAAAAGCGACCAAAAAAATTTTCTTCTCTAAAATTGTCTCCTTTCACCTCCTTTCCTGCTCTCTAGCAATGTTCTGTTGTCTGCTTTCATTTCCACTTTCTGCCCCCGCCACTTCACCTCCTTTGCCCCCTCCTCTGGGCTCCTGACTCTTTCTGCAGCCTTTCTACTGCTACTCCTTGGCTCCTTCTTACTGCTGTCTTTCTGCCACACCCCTGATCTTCTGGTAGGAAAGATCTACACCTAGCCTTCTCGGACAAGGGCGAAAAATCCCGGAGGGCCCGTGTGCAAGTTGCGCACGTTAAAGATACCTTGGTGGTCTAAAATCGATAAGAGTAGGCTTCGGCCGCCACCCGGGCAAAATTCAAAATTTCCTACCAACTGAAAATATTTAATGTATCCCGCGCGCTCATATGACCTATGCAGTTGCGAGCGCCGTAAAACACTTTACAAAAACACACAAAAAAGAGAAGTCTGACATTATTGTTGTGCATTCTGTTGATCAACAACAATTTATCAAAAGCCATTATATCTTGACCGTATTTGGAATACCACGTGAAGTACCCAGCCAATCAAATCCGTCCCAATACTGAGTGCAGGTGCTCGATTTAACGTCATGTCAATTTATCTACCTCACTCAACCGTCAACACTTTAAGTTCAACACACAACTCTTCTTGAAAGCAAACAACAGGATGCTCAAAGACTGACATGCTCAGTAAACCAATTTTCTTTTTTTTTAAAATTCACTTCATCATCATAGTGACATACACATAGTTAATCAACAGAATGCGCAGTAAATATATATTTCACGGATCGACAAAAAGCGCTGCGCGATTTGCTGATCAACAGAATGCGCAACAATCGATGGATTGTCGCGTGTTTCTTCGATTAACCAAATGCGCTGTGCGATCAATGGATCGCGCAAATTGACAGATCAGGCCCAACATATATATATCGATTTTTAAACATATTTCAGTGTAGATTTTACTTTAAAACATTTTTAAGCATAAAAATGTAAAATTGTAGTTCCCAAGGACACTATGTGCAGCTTTATAACCTCACCAACCAAAATTTTGCCACATTTTTTTCTCGCTAATTTTATCTCCGATACCTGGCGACTCCCACCTCCTTTAACTGATTCCGTCCATGATTTTTTCAGGCTCTGGACAGAATTATTTTTCTTTGTTCAGTTTTAGACCTGGGGTGCATCTATTAATGCATTACTGTGAAGCTCTAAGTTACTCTAATAGGTATTGTCATATATACCAAAGTGATGGGGAATCAATAGAGAAATCTGTTTTTATCAATAACAATGACCTATAATCTGTTTGTATTGTACTCTCCGCCAGACAAAAACGAATGAGAAAAAAAAATTGCACAACACCTCTTCGAAAATTTTGACTTACCGCATTTTCTCAGCTCTACAAGTCCTTATAATCCATAGGAATCAACAAAAAATTGTAGCGATATCACCCTAGCACACATTTTTATGCAAGAATTTTACAAATTTAGTTGAATATCTTTTTTTGAAGAGCCTTTTTCTTATACCAGGCTCCGTGTTAAATTTACCCTTAGATCTAGCCTACATCACGACAACAAAACAACGATTTTTGCAAGAATTTCGCGGAGTTTCAGTCGATATTGGCGCTCAGAGATTGAGGTCAGGTTTGTTTAGCCTGAAGAGCTGGTCATCTGTTCGTTGGCCCGCACGAAATCCTGCTTGGTTGCTGTCCAGGACACCGGTTGTTTCCAACCACCAGTATAGGCGGTGGTTGACCATTCTCTCTGCTAGTTTCCCGATGCATGAGGTGAGTGAAATGGGTCGATAGCTTTTCATTTCTTCAGCAGGTTTTCCTTTCTTGAGAATGGGTGTGATGATGGCGTTTCTCCATGCTCTGGGGATGGTGTTTTCATTCCA